GAACACCACAACCATCATACTCCTGTCACCAAAGAGCATTACTGAAATGTTTATATTTTCTCTGTTAAGGATTGAGAGGTCCTGGGACAGATCTGAGGACAGTACTTAGGGTCTTGGGAAAAAGTGATGAGTCTGGCTGCAAGTTGTAGAGATTAAAGGAAACTCCATATACAGTAGATACAACCCGAATTCTAGCAGTATGAGTGTTCCCAAAGTTTTCTAGCTCAGTGGACTCATCTTGCCCCTTAGATTTCAGTGTATATAACCCAATGCTGATCCCACCTATGGAAAGCAACCAGAATTGCCACCACCACCTTCTCTACCTTTTTAAGAACTCGGAGTAAGGGGGAACTATTTTCACATATCCTTGACACCTCTGGCTCTGATTTCCTGATGCTGCTGAATTCTCTTTACTTGTGCTTTATCTTCTGTCTCATACATGTTATCTCTTCCCTATCTTGAACCCCATATCGGATCTCTTCAATCACTTTTTCAAAGAACCCCTAATACAAGTTTGTAACAAGGAACTTGAAATTAAATAGGGTAAAAAAAGGCTTTTAGACTTATGTCAAAACCATCTGACTCACCTCATGTCAGCCTTAACCAACTTCCTCCTTTCTTTGTCTCTCCCCCTCTTCCTTTCTTATCTTTTTTCATCAAGCCCAGGCTCTTAGACACCCCTTCCACTTACTGCTTTCAAGTGGAGCAAGCCATCAATTTTCTTTAATGTGAGCCTATCCAAATTGCATGCTCTATCTAAAACTGTTAGGCAGTTTTTCCTTCATCATAGGAATATTTCCTCTGATTTTTAGGGTGGTGTGTCTTCCCTCTCTTCTATACCAAAGTTAGAGGGGTCAGAGTTAGAAAAAGCAATCAATTTCCCTACCAAACTTGAAAGGTTTAAAATGCTGCAAGGACAGCAAGGTAAAGAAAGACATCAATACTAGTCAAACAGAAATTTCACAATAGTCTAAGTTCACCAACAGCATTTCTCCTTATACGTTTGGATGCTCCTGTCAGGCTAGGCCTGAACCCTTAAAACAACAGATCCCATCTATATATGCAAGCAGATTATAAAGTACTTCAAAGAAACAACCATGCTTTGAGAGCATTTCCTAAAAGTCCTACAAAATTAACTTGCCCAGGAAAAGTACCATCTAAATATTTCTTTGTAATGACATATACATTCTCTGATGAGAATTACTTAATATCCCTCTCTTTCCGGCTTCTATAGCAAGGACAGAGTATGGGAAATAGTAAGGGGAGTCTCTGGTCTTATGCCATCATTAGTATACTTGCTGGACACTCCCTTTCCTTAGTAAGGTTGAGAGATGGTTCATTGACATAGAAGATTCAGAGAAATCCCTTATGTGGTCCAGAGATTTCACACTGTTTGGATTGAATGTTTGTATCCCATCAAACTTTCTTATGCTGAAGCCTTAGACCCCAACTGAACAGTATTTGGAGACAGAAACTATGTAATGCAATTGAGTTTCAATGAAGTCCTGATGGTAGGGCCCTCATGATGGTGTCAGTATTCTTAGAGGAGGAGATAGCAGAATGTGCTCACTCTCTCGCTCTCTCGCTCTCTCTCTCTCTCTCTCTTTTCTCTCTCTCTCTCTCTCTCTCCTTATCTCTAGTTTACCATATGAGGACATAATGATAAGGCAGTCACCTACCAGGAAGGGAGCAGTGACTTGAAATTTTACTCTGCCACAAACCTAACTTGGACTTTGCAAACTCCAGAAATGTGAGAAAATTAATTTTTTTTTGTTTAAGCTACCAAGCCCATGGTATTTTATTCTGGTGTCAGGTTGACTAGCACACATACACCTACATACATCCCTGTGAAAATGTGGATTTACTTATTTTCTCATAGGAAACATATGAAATATAATACTAGAATTATTATCTATTGTTTTTAAAAAAACCATGTTGCTTCCCAGAGCATGGACTATATATTTCTGAACAAGTTGTCTGTATTTAGAAAAATGTTGTTTGCTTTGGATGTTCCTAAAAAAAAGAATAAAAACATATGTTCTCTCCAGTATTCTGTGGGAGATAAAATATTTGTGAGTGGATTACACTGTGGCCTCACAATTTCTGTCAAGAAAAGAGTAATAAAATGAGAAAAATCACATCTCCATTCTCAACCTCAATACTTCAGGATGATCTTTGTCAGTTTTAGCTCACGCAATATACCTGTTATCCACCCTGTCATAAAATTAAGTTCCATATTCAGAACAGCCAATCTTCAGAGGCAAGACACAGTGGCGTGAATATCTGAATGTTGTTTGTGGTGTACATAGTTTTCTTATTATGATTTTAAAAAGCAGACAAGGGAGATCTTTTCCATAGTGTAGAGGTATTTTAATTTTGGCACATATTCTTCTTGATAATCACTGGGGCTAACTCAGTACTCTGTTTCCTTGAATAGCTTCTTGCCCTAAGGACAAGCTTTAAGACAGAAGTTAACCTTATCTGAACTTTTGGAAGGTTTATCAGCCTTGTTGATAGCCCCTTCCCTCACTGTAAGACGTTTGTGATTCCTGATACTCAACTGAGTGGTTCCTCAATTCACAAAACAAATTTCTCCTCCTGAGGTGGTGAGCACCTTCCCCCACCCAAGTAAGTTCGGTGTCCTCTGCCACTTTCAATACCCCCAGTGATATGGCTCCTTCTTCTCCAGTGATTATGCTCTTTAATACAGTTCTTCACTAGAGAGTCTTAAGACCAACTTTCTGAGGAACCATTCCTTAGTCTCCAGATATCAAGTGACTAAGTGAATAAATGAAGAAATTTGCAACCTACAGAACTAAGTGGTATTAAAAAGCAGATATGAAAAAGTGATCTGTTCTTTTTCATACAGTATTTTTCAGATTGTCCAGATACTTATATCTTAGCAGTGAAAAAATTATAGATGTTTCACATCAATTAAATAACCTTGGACAAAATGGTTATTAATGCACCCATGTATATCAATGATCACATGTTACATTTTACTTGTTTAAAACCTTTCAACAGGAAAAATTCTTCCTTTTCCAAAAGCTTTACTTCTTAATGTTACAGCACTTCCTTTGTTTGCGTGACATGCAAATATTATGTATTTTTTCACCAGTAACTCACACAAGAGAGATAATTTGGATGTTTAAGTGACATCACATACAAAATATTACTCAAATGCTCTATCATTTGTGAATATGCAGTTATCAATGTAATTTAATTTGGGGGAATTTTCATTATTTCACATTTTTTAATAAAATGAGTCATTACTATTATCTTAAAGCACAAACTTGCATGTTTCAAATTTACATAAAATTCTATTTACCATAGTTATGGTTTTGGAAGTTCAGGAAATTAATATAGGTAATGGGTAGTTTAGAATATTTATAGCTCACGGTTTAAGTCAATACATTCATCTAATTTTTATTGATTACCCATTATGTACCAAGTACACTAAGTGTCAATGGAGATACATGGGGTTAATTCATGGTCCCTTCTGGTGAGAAGCAATTTAGTTGAACAGAAAGAACTGATACCAAAAGTGAGCCTGCTTTCCAAGTCAGAACATATGTGTTCAAATTCCATCTCTTAGAGTCAGACTTTGTATATTTAAAATGTATACATAAATTGACAACTATTATACAAATAGAAAAAAATTAGCTTCAAAGAGAAAAAAGGCATCAGAGAAAGAAGTGACATTCTGTGCAGCGAAAGACATAGTGTCACAGCCAGTCAGTCACAGCAATGCAACTGTCAGGCCACCCTTTCAGAACCAGCATGGACGTGAGCTCTTGGACTAGTCTTGGGCTCAAGTATCAGTTCCTCTAGAAAGCTAGTAAACACCCACTCCTTTGCCTCACTCTCCAAGAAGGGAAAGCTGGGTTATGGAAATCCTGCATTTTAAAATGTCTCCCTCGAAAATTTTTAAGTTTCCTTTTGGTACCTGATCAACAATGCCATCAAGACAGGGTGCCCAGATCTATTTCCATATGGGTCCAGTTCTATGGAAATGCCTTATTCAAAAGTTTCTGGGATTGTCTCTGGAATCTTCAGCAAGCCAGAGCCCACTATATGCATTTCTCCCCTTTGGGGGTCCCTGACCTTTGCAATGATTCCTACAAAGGAAGAAAAATATTTGATGTAGTCAACAGGAGGTCAAAGTAGTGGTTGAGTGGATATAGAAGGATGGTAGAGAGTGCGAAATATTTTGGTAGCAAAATATTTTGCAAGCATCACTTAAAAATGAAACTACAAAACATTGTTATTAAGGACAAAAGCAGGTTGTGGAGTAGCCTGTACAGTATGAAACCAATTCTATTAAAATGAAAAATATACAAACTGATAAGGCTACAAATGGCTTCTAAGACATTGGTATTCTAGCCATTGGTCTCATATCAGTGACTACCTCTGGGGACAGGGAAACAAGGCCTGGGATTGAGTATAACATTTTAAATATTTTTCGACAAATTTACCCTTCCTCAACTCAATATACCTTAGTAACTTGTTACTATACCTATGTTCATGTCTCCTAACTCCCTCTTTCAATAATCTATATTCAAACTTGATAAACTTCTTGTACTCTTCATGTACTGTCATCCTAAATTGACTTGAATCTCTTCTAGGACTGGATGTTTTACCCCATTTCAATTCAATTAATAATCCTAATAATCATCTCTATTTTCCTTTTCCCTTACTATTTCTTCTACAGTTCTAGTAGTAAGAAAAAGCCATATTTCAGATACCTTACTTATACCACAGTATTTTTTTTTCTGAACTGTCATAATGATGTAGTACATTGAATGCTTATAATTCATAACTAAGAGAACTAACTGTCTCTTTAAAGTAATTAGCCCGAAAGGAACTAGAAGTCATCCAATGAAGTGAGGCGAGAGTGAGAAAAGTGGGACTTCCACAAAACCCACAAAATTTTCAAGAGAACAATATATCTTAAAAAAAAATAACACTCTTTGGCCATTATGTTAGATTATTTTCTGCTTTTTATTAATTGCAGTACAGAGAAAGGAAGTAAAATGTTTAAAGAAATTTGTGTTCTTCAGACAAGGTGTTTTATACCAACAGGGAAGGAAAACATGAATAAGTTCTGCATCTTCATTTCCCTTTCTCATTCACAGGGTAGGCTGAAAAACAAAAGGAAAAATATAAGTACTGTTTGTTAAATATCATGTGTTTTCCAAATATATTTATATGAATGCCAAATTGCTTAGATTTTCTGAAAATTCCACCAATGATAATACATTCAAGTCTGTCTTAAACTCATGACTGCTGATATCTGTTAGGCAGGAGGGAGGTCTTGTATTATAAAGCCCTCTCTTCAACACCGGTATCATCAGACGCCTCAGGCTGCAAAGTCACAGAATTTGCATCATCACTCCTCAGAGTCATTTACTTAACACCTACTTCTTACTTAACTTAATTGCAAACAAAAAAAAAGTGTTTCTCAAAGTTAGACCTCTGGGTAGAAAATCTTGCCAATTCAGACTAAAAGAAATCACTTCTTGAAATGACTACATTTGCAGAGATACAAAGCTACTTTCTTGATTGAATGCACAATATGTAGATATTATCATTTGGGCAAAGAGTAAGTTAAAACTAGGAGTGGAATAGACATCACAGCCAGTTTGGAAAACACGAAAATAATCCATGCTAAAAAATAGATGGACAACTAGTTTTGAAGAAGAAAGTTCATTCTATTTTTATTAATTTCCCTCAACCAAAATAAGTGAACCATGCTTATGTTGAAAAATTTAAATCTTTAAGTGTGTGGTGGTGTTTTAAGAAGAGAAATTCTATCAAAGCTCAGCAAGCTGACACATTACAGACTTAATAGTAAATTATTCACTGCAAGTAGAAGTTTACATAAAGTATCAGATTCTCCAATAAAATGAATTTGTTACTGAGCTATTAGGTGGAGTCATGTGAAGTCATTGCTATTGAACTCTTTTTTCACTTGCAAAAATGCACGTCCACGTGATTCAGCCTCTGACATAAGGTAACCCACTGCTGAACTATTGTTCAGTGGAATAATTCTGCCTGCTCTACCACATTTGGTCAGAACAGGACAGTGGTACTTTCAAGTACTGGCTCAAATTTTGAATTGTAGCTCTACCTCTCACTACCTGGGTAAATGATTAACGTATGCTGTGGTCTGTGCCTTCATTTTCTCAACTGCGAAATGGCAATAATAATGGTTCTCAGTCAGGTAACTATTTTGACAACTAAATAAGTTATAAATAAAATGCTTATGACAGTTGTTGGGACTGTTATACATGGCATTTGGCAAAACAAATAGAGTTTTGCTATTTTAATAACAATTATAACTGCTTTTTAAAAATCCATTTACCTGAGAAGTTGTTGAATATGTTGGTTTTAGGCTAAGGCGGCTTGAGCTGAAGCAACAAGTTTTGGACCCTGAACACAAAGAAATGATAAATATGAGGGAAATATTAGCATCACTATTAAGAAAAACGATTCACCTTTCTATAGCCATATGTGACTACAACGTAATTTCACATGTATCACATCATTTCATTCCAGTTTAGTACTACAATCTTTAGCAGGAATCTCAAGGGTATCCATTGTCCACAAAAGGAATAAAAAATTCCTATTAGGTCATAGGTGGAAATAATAAATGATTCATACATTAAAATATGAACTTCCCCATTGACCTATAAAATCAAGTACTCAGATTCAACCAAACTAACAATTTTCAGGAAAATGATGAAATAAATCAATGTTTTGATTTAATGATGCCTTTGCCAGAAGACATCAGGCCTTAAAATTATTTGTTTAAATTCATAAACATCATAACAGAAAAAAATATGACAAACATTTAATAGTATGCTGTAACACATCAGGAAATTTAAAAAAAATAGCTAAATCATTTTGCCAAACAATTGTATGTAGAACAAGATTCCTTTCCCACATGTATGAAGTGTCCTTCTGATATACAAACTCCTAAGATCTAGCTTGATGAAATACAACAACAAAGGAAATTAGACATATTAAAATAAAGTCATCTCCAGCACCTCTGTAGAGAAGCAGGCCTCTTTGTCATCAGCTGCACAGCATTTTTCAATGAAACCTCCAAAGTCTCCCATAACAGCTTTCAGTTGGTCCCCTGTTGCCTTGGGCTTGTGTTTCAACAGCTCAACAAGTGCACTGCATAAAATTAAAACAGATAAAAGGGTTATTGACATAAAGAAAATGGAATGGTAAAGACAGTTATGGCAAACTTTTCAGTAAATGTATGGAAATGATTATTTCTTGCATTTATACACTATTCAGATTTAGAAGTTATGTCATATTAAATTTATAACTAAAAATGATCCATGCTTATAGTTAGTCTGAGAATGCTTATAGTTAGTCTTTGACATATATCCCCATTCAAAGTTAATCGTGGGGAGACCAAAGGAAATACAAGTATTAAAACTCATAGGATCTGCTGCTTCTCTTTCACTGATATCTTCTGAGATAATAGTGCTAGAGAGGCATGAAAGACTTTGCAATATTACTTTTAAGTCTCTAGCCATCATGAGAACCCAGCAAACACATCGGCAACTCTGTGTTGCTAAGTTTCATGCAGTTCTAGTTCCTTGTTTCAGCAATAGGGAGTCAAGGCACAGAACTCACATTCATCCAAGTTCCATTCTAAAAGACACATCTATAAGTGCCCATAGGAAAAACTTAAAATTACCATTTAGCCCTAAAAATTAATTCTCCTATGATTTATATGAGATTATTTGCTGTCTACACAAATGCTCAGTTAATTGATCAGCATTTTTTTATTGGACCTGGCCTGAAATATAATTCTAGTACAGCTTTTATCTACAAGATTATTCTGAGTAATTTATAGGAAAAGTTATAATAAATTTTTCCCAAGAAAACAAAAAGCAATAAAATCACCTATTTTATTCTCAACACTTTAACATCTTAGTAAGGACAATACTCAAATACTCTCTTTTAAGGGACATAATCACTACTTCAGGAAATCACTACTTCGGTTTACAGTTCTCACTAGTCAGACTAAACCCAAGTAGTAATGAAATACTCCTCACGATTGTTTCTTGACTTGTTTCTGAGCTTCGGGAAGTGTGCAGATATCAGCATGGAAGGTGAATGTTTCAGCATTAAATTCTTTCGGAACATATGTTTCATCAACTTCCAGAGCAGAGAAGCATGGTCGCCTGCCCACCAAGGACTCAGTGCAACATTTGGTAACTTTTTCACTCACTGGTGTCTTCTCATGCAGCACGCACAACCGGTTCAAGACCACAGAAAGCTAAAAAACAGGCAAGAGGGTAGAAGTTCAAAAGAAGCACAATTTAAAAATTCCCATGAACTCCTACTTTCCAATGAACCAAAGGAAGTGTTATGTTTTAACTAGCAACTTTAAATCAGAGGTTGATTTGAAGCAGTGATACTCTTGTTTTTAGATCTACAAAATATAAGGGAATTTTACAAGTCTTTTCCCTTTTAAATATATCTACATATTAAGAATAATTCACTTGAAAAAATAATTGATTAAAATAACTTGAGGTGAATACTGCTATGTGTGGGAAATTGGGAAATAGTCTTATACTGATACACTAAAGAAAAGACCCCAAAGAAAGTTAAAAAGGCCAGGATGAAACATTGAAAACTCATAAAATTTTTCAATATAGTTTTGGGATCTTATCTAAACCCTCATTGTGATAATCATAACAAGTGACAAAGCCCTGGCTGCCACTGCCACCCACACACACACACACACACACACAAATGTTAGTTCACCCCGCTTCTCTGAAAGATAACTTCGTCAATAAAGGCAAATTTCATCATTATTAACTATGTTATAATTTAAAAGACTCACAAAGTCCTCAGCACAGGCCATCCTCTCTGATTCAGCAAGAGTACAACACTTGGTGCCCACTTTCCCGAGGCTCCTGGAGACCTCCACGAGACTTGGAGTTGACACTTGGGGCATTTTCTTGGTGTAACGAACTATGAGCCTGTAACAAAAAGTCCATGTGTTTCAACCAGGCATCAAGCTCTTTGACACAGTAGTTAAAGCAGAGAATACTTAGTTTAAATCGACAGAAAGGGTAGTGGGGTTATGCAGCCCTTGTCCTGAGCAACTAGTTAAGTATAGCTTTGAATTTCATCTGTGTTGTGTAATCCTAGGAAAATGACTTACCTTATTATTATTCAATAACATTAATATACTTATTAAGTGTGTCTTTCAATAAATCCTACTGAGAGCTTTACATCAACATTCTAAATTTGAAAGCTATGGATAAATTTTCTCATCTAGAAGAGGGTAAGGAATATACCTGATTCCAAAAGGATGGTACAAGGAAAAAATGAAATAAATAAAGTAGGCAATATACCTGGTACAACATGTAATAATCACAAAGAATGCCAATCACTGCTGAATATCTACTCAAGTGAAAGAGTCAATCTCTTATTCATTGTTGTTATTCATCCAGCATTCATAGCTAGAAGAGTGTTAACGTGTAGGAGCTGATCAAAAAAAGTGCTTACTGAATGATGTGTTCCTTCTTGTCTTTGCCTCCATAGAGAAGGCTCTATTAGATCAAGACATCAGTCTGTCAGTCTATATATTATAGCTTGAGCTACTGCTATTCAAGGTCTACAATTTTTGACTTTGTAAATTTACTGCTTCATTTAGTTCATCCATAAGCTATTTCTGAACCTCAAGGGACAGCCTTAGTTTTTACATCCTAAAATTTGGTATTTTTCTTCACATTTTCAAAAGGCCACTTTTTTTTTAAAGATTTATTTATTTATACAAGAACTGGGGTACAAGCCAGAGGCACAGGAAGGTGAGAGAATTCACCAGAGACAGAGCAGGGAGCAGAACAGATACAGAGACTGGAAACACTGCTGAAGGGAGCAGCAGGCGAGACAGGAGAGGTCTGCCACGCCATGTGGGTATCTCCCTGGCTGGCCAGGAATCAAACCTGTGCTGCAGAGGCTGCAGATAGCTTCACAGCATTGCACTCAACCCTCTAAGCCACCAGGGAGGCCCAAAAGGCCACCTTTTAAACTACACTCAGATACAGGCTTCTCCATCCCATCAATTTATTTTATGTTCTTTTCTCTAGTCTTTCTTGATAGAGAAAGAAATACATATAGTATTTTTGTGATTCAAGTTCCTATGATAGGTGATTTATACAGTAAGTCTTAAAGGGTTACAAACTGATCAAGAAAAATATTAAATGATGAATAAAAATACGTACGCATTCTGGAAGCCATACTCTCCAAGGCTGTCAAAAAGTGCACAGTTTTCTTTGACTAAATTCTGAGGCTCATCCACAAGAGGTTTAAGCTCATCAAGCTGAAATATATATATATAAAAATTGTGTTTACAATAGTCTACCTGAGGACCAAATGCAGGTTGATTGCATAGCTCTAGATAGAATGAGACCCTCCCTCTTTTTTAATCAGTGCAATGTTAATAGATTTATGATGCCAAATCCATCACAATACATCTGAACTGTTTATTTTATTGGCAAGACTCTATAGTATATGTGGCTAAAAAACTCCAGGGCCAGCAGAACAAGTGCTGGTATTTGAGCCAGGCCATCTGATGTATTTTCAAGCTGTACCTCTAAAATGGAGATAAATATGTTACTCACTCCAGAGAACTGCTCTATGGACTACATGGGCTAGTCATATTAAAATAGCAAGACCTAAGTTAGTGTTTGATTGAGGAAATGAGGATTATAGCCTACAAGCAGAAGATAACAATGACCATCCTACTCCATATTCCAATGAGTTCTGCCTGTTCATGGATTCCAAATAGATGGAATCATAGTGTGCAAAAAAGAAAAAAAGAAGCTAGACAACCTAAAATTTAACATTCTACTTGAGATTATTTTTCTTATAATGTTTAAGAGCACAGAATTGAAAAATGTTTCAAGAAAAGATCTACATTGCACTGTATAATCTTGCACATTTTTCTTCCTTGTTATTGGAATCATCATTCAAAGGCTACATTTTTTTCCCCTCAAGAAACCTACCACTTTGGAATAGCATGAAGGAGGGTCATCAGTGGCACAGCACTTCTCCAGTGTGGCTTCATACCCCTTGGCAATTCTCAAGAGCATTAAGACAGAGTACTCAGGATGCCTTCTTGAGTTTTCATACAAAAACCTAATTCCAGGGGGAAAAAAAAAACAGATTTACTTGGACAAATGAAAAAAAAAAGTCACATAATGAGGTTCGAAAGTAACTCATATCCCAAAGGTCTGAATTTGATTGAACACCAGGAAATGAATCTTAATGTCTAATGACTTGGTATTCACACATGCAAGGGAAGAAAATCCTATATTGCAAAAAAATTAACAAGGATATAAAATAATGGTAATTCACTTTATTCATAGATATAGATATATTAAAAAAAAAAGACTTGGGATTCAGAGTTAAAATCACCTAGCTACCTGCCTTCAAATCCTAGCTCTGCCACTTATCTTACTATTTAACCTTAAGCAACTTGTTAAAATTAACAGAGCCTTAGTTTCCTCCTCTGTAGAATGGAGATGATAATAATTACCTCATAAGGTTGAGTTACTTCATAGGTTGAGTTGTGAGAAATACATGACATAATCTATGCAAAGTACACAATCTCTGACACATATTAAATGTTTGATAAATGACACCTGTCATTATTATGTATAATTTGTTTGATTTGGATTATACCTCAAAAAGGTTATGATTGATAGGTAGGTTGGTAGGTAGATAGAGTCAAACTTTTCTTTTTCTTATCTGTGTGAGTGAAATTTTGAAGGGTACAAAAGTTTATGAAATATTATTTAGTGCACATAGTATAAATATATATGATGTTATTTTGTCATTTAAATGCATGCAGCCTTGCCATACTACTGGCCTTCACTTTTTACTTCTTTTCTGCCATCAGATGGATGGATGGATAGATGGATGGATGGATGAATGGATAGAACTCTATTAATTAATTTTTTAACTAAGTTTTAAAAAATATTTTAAAGGCTGGGAAAGGGAAGGATAATCATTGCAGATTACATGAAAATGGTAGCACTCTAAAGGAAAACCTAGTATTATCTTCCCACATTCTGAAACCTTGTAAGTATAGCTTCTTATCCACTTACGTGCCCAGGAAGATATCTTTTGCCTCTTGATAGTTTTTGCAAACGTCCTTATCATCAACAAAGTCAGCAGTTATTGGGGGCAGGTCAGCAGGAGCTTCATCTCTTTCAACCTCAGAAATGCAGTGGGATTTTTCCAACATTGGCTTCCCACAGCATTCCTTCAGCTTAGAGGAGATTGTGTCTTGATTTTCACAGACGTACTTGGCAAGCTGTTCCTATAAGAAAGTTGATGAAAATTGTTCAGTATAAATTGGCAATGCTATTCTTTCTCCCCAGATTTTCATTATGTTGGCAGAACAGAACATGTTCATCAGAGTTTAAGACCATACACACAGACAAGGAATGGGCTTCCTATGAGCTTATTATCAGTCTGTGCTCCTTAACCTGGAGATTCAGCTAGAACTACTAAAATATTTCCACTTGTTTAAAAAAATAACTAGTCAGTAATAGAACACCTATTAGTAATTGATTGATTTTATATTTCAACTGCTAAGGATTGAAGTTTTTAAATTGAAACAGTGCTATGTGTATCTTTAACACAAAGTTATGTGTATGTTTATGCTAGTTATCTGCATATTTAACACAAAGTTAATTGAGATTATAGAGAGGGAAAGTACATAATTTCCAAAGTTTTCTTCAAATATTAGTCGTTCTCCAGCTATACCCACCCTCCAAAAAATTTTAGAAATCTACATTTGTAGATGTCCTACTTCAGCGTAAGCCTTTTTAATTTTTTTTTTTAAAGATTTATTTATTTATGTATGCAAGCACTGGGTACAGTCAGAAGTGCGGGAGGGTGAGAGAATTCACCAGAGCCAGAGTGAGGAACAGAACAGGCAGACTGACAAAGTACACTGCTGTGGGCGGCAGGAGAGATCTGCACGCCATGTGGGAACCTCGCCCGGCAGCCGGGGATCAAACCAGTGTTGCAGAGGCTGTGGGCAGCTTTGCAACCCTGCGCTCAACTGCTGTGCCACCAGGGAAGCCCCCTTTTTTAATTTTTTAAAAAGATTTATTTATTTATGCATACAAGAACTGGGGGGGGTACAGGCCAGAGGTGTGGGGGGTGAGAGGGTTCACCAGAGACAGAGTGGGGAATGGAACAGGCAGATTGACTGAAATACACTGCTGAGGGGAGCAGCAGGTGAATCAAGAGAGGTCTGCTGTGCCATGTTGGTAGCTCCCTGGCTGGGGATCAAACTCTTGCTTCAGTGGCTGAGGACAGCTTCATAGACTGTGTCATAACCCCTGTACTACCAGGGAGGCCCTCAGCTTATGCCTTTTATCTCAGAATATAGCTTAAAGGGATTACTAATTAGTGAATATGTTTATCACATCATTTAGTGAATAGGATAGCCAGTTTAAAATATATATATATCAGAACTATAAGGCAAGGAGAGGGCTGAGCAGACTAGGCATGGAAGGCAATCTCAACCGATCGTGCATCATCATCAATGATAAGCAAATTCATCTTACCAAGTATGCATCTAAGCTACCAAAGAGCAGACTAGGAATCCTTACCCTGTCATCAGCACATTCAAGCAGGTCACCTTCACAGCATTCCTTGTTGACTTTGGTAAGATCTCCCACTATCTTGGAAATCTCTGCAAAGTCAGCCTTGGGGAATTTCTGGCTCAGGCGACTTACTGACCTAAAATGAAAATTCCCCACCAAAACATTATTAACATGCTATATTTTACGTGATAGTGATACAGGGCAGAAAGAGGCACTAAAATCGGCCAAGGACACTGCCCAAATAATGTACCAGTCACTGTAACAGTCTTCTGGCTTCAGCCATCGGTTAAATTAGCACTCAGAAAATGCTACTTAAAACAAAAAAGTTGGACAAAGAAACATAGAATAATTTTTAAATTATTAATTCATTGGTTCTTATTTTACTGCTAGTTCTGAACCAAATTAGGGCAAAATATTTTCTTAAGGCAGAATTATTAATCTTAAGAGTGTGTAGGCTAGATATACGTCCTGCCATTCATAAAAGGAGAGATCAAAGAGGTATTATATAAAGGCAGAGCATGCTGAGAGGCTGCAGGTCTGGAGTCCAGGCCTCACTCTCAGATCTGATTGTATCACTTATATTATCAGTGTGACCTTAAGCAAGTTACTTAGCCCCTTGGAGCTTCAGCCTGTACAGGTCACAACAGCATACCAAATTAAAAGACTGTTGTGAGGATTAAATTAGACAATATACATGAAAGCATTTTATAAACTGAAAAATGCCATATGTACTTTAATTATCATTTTTACCAATAAAAATACATTCTTCCTGAATTCTAAAGGTTTCTGAGAAGAGAAATTGTATAACATCTACAGAATTAGGTAATTTTGATTAAACATACTTTTACCAAGTTATTGATCTAGCACAAATCCTAAGATCTATTACAAAATGTAAAAGGCTAATATCCACATACTTTTAGAATTATAGTGTCATCTAAATTTGATGGAAGATATTTCTTCTCCCAAGCCAATCATAGACTATTTAATTGTGTATTGTTTTATACTGGAGTTGTTTTGCTTATTGATTTTGTTGATTTTGGTGGTGTAGATGGTAAGGATGACAAGAAAAGACTGTTCAATTTAAAGTTTCTACAGAGCTTGCCAAATGTCTATTATTCTCATTTTATCACCTCTTCAAATTGATTTATAGTTAACTAGCAAGAGGGGATGGGGTTGGGGAGAAGTTTCCTTGGCTCTGATGTTAAAGGATGCTCCTAGAACTATCTAAGTAAAATAAAAGCAGGTAGAAAGAAAAGACTAAGAACAGAGTTAGAGCAATGAGAAGTGACCTGAATGGCTGAATTTAATTGTCAGAACATAAAAAGAAAAGCAGATATTTTAACATAATAGCATGGGGTATGGAAATACAAATTAAAGACACCGGTTCTATAAAATTAGTGGAATATTAATACGAGTTTAAATATCAGTCTTAGAAGGAAAAATAGGATCACCCCCTAAATTCTTTGACTGCTTAGACAGTAGAAAATAATGACAAGTTGTCATTTTTGTGTGATTTTACCTCTGGTATATTTCTACCTTAAAGACAACCAAAAAGATGTGTGTGAAAGCCTGTGTAAAATGTTATATGAATGTCTAATTTTGTTAATTGAACTGACACCCTTTATATTACTGTAAAAATACAATCTAAGTTTTAAAATACCATGCTTTGAAAGCTCTTTCTCCAAACTTTTGGATACTGGCACACTTGAATCTCTGTTTGGCAGATGAACTCAGTACGACTTCCTTCAAAGCATCAACCTACAAAAAGAAAGAATTTGAAAAATTAGGGTGAAAAAATTCTGTATGAAATACCCCCTTATACATTTAGCTAAGACTAGCCAAATTAAATTTTAAAGAGAGAATTTATACTTAAATTGCCAGGTTCTCGCTATTAGAAATTCATGATTTCACTATGTAGGAAGAAGAAAGATCAGTCTGGTCATAGAGAAGGCTCTAGGTAGTCAAGAAAAGTAGTCAAGAATCAGTATGGAGGCATTGCTTGGGGGGCAGGGGAAGGAAAGTGAAAAGAAAAGTAGAGAAACAAATACACCAACATCCCAGGAAACATTACTGATTTAATTTTTATTTCAAATCCTCCTCCACCAACTCTAACAAGATCCATAAAATATCTAGAAAAGAGAATGCAGTACCTAAAAAATATTTATGGACTGAACCAGGCTCCTAAATGCAAGTTAAATTCTCCATTTTGAATTCCACCCAATTAAAAAAGAAAAAGCATCATGAAACGATAAACAAAAACTGTGGCCCTTTGTTATGCAATTTTACAAATGAGTTTCTCTATTTCACCATAAGTGTGAGCACAATAAAAAGAGGCAGACTATTAACATACATACACAATGATTCCTTCTATAGATCCACTGGGCAAATCTTAAAGAAAGAGGAATGAAGAGACCAGAGGTCTTCAAAGAGGGTCAAAGATCTTTGGGTGGGAGAAGAGTGAGGAAGATTTTTTGAACATGAGAAGTTTATATCAGAGACTAAAGTTTCCTATATCTAGGTATAAGATGTCCAAAATCTGAGATTTGATTATGAATTGGCTTTTTTAGTCTTTTTCTGAGGCATACCTTTGGTGTCAGGCAGGCACCTTTATCAGCAGCTGAGCAACAGTCTGTCAAAATTTGTTTGTATTGCTTAGCATAGTAAAGGAGTTCAGGAGCATAAAAGTAAGGATATCTTCTGGCAATTTCATATAAGTAACTAAATTTTTAAAAAGAAAAACAGTCATTTATCTATAACAGACAGGGTTATAGGAACAATTGCGATCAACATTCTCCTGAGAGCCTCTAAAACCCAAAAACATCTAATTACTAAATAAACTCAATTTGGATGTGGTAACCTTTATTTAGGTTAGTGAAAAGGTTAAGTTTATGTGTATGAATTATAGTATATTACATATATAAATATGTAAATAAATATGCTTGCATACACAAACAATATATTAAATTAGTACAATTTGGTGATACGTAATTGACTAAAATGAAATCATTCTGAGAATAATTAAATACATAGTTTCATAATATTCAATCTCAAAATTTTTAGACACATCATATAGTTTCAGTGAAATCCAAAAATCTTTTATCAAAGTTTTTATCATGTCAAATTTGTAGTGCAAATATTACGTCTTTGAAAACTGTTATCAGAACTTAAGCTTCTCAACCTTAATGTTGAAAATATTTTTGTTATAGTAATTGTTATAATGAGCCTTGATGTACTCCATAATTTTCAAATTTGAAGCCTAAAAAGCTGGTAACTTACTGTCCTGCAAACTTCTGTTCATTTTCCTGGAAGGCAGCACACAATGCATCGGGCTCTGGTCGTGTATATGGAGGGAATCCTGGGTTGTCGTCTTTGTGTTGCAGGAAGCATTCATGTCTCCCAGGCTCTTGTTTTTCGCAGCAGTCAGCCAAATCACCATACTTTTCACGAAGAGATGCAACTGTACACAGTTTATCTCCAAAAAGAGTTTGCTAAATAGAAGAAAACAAGCTTTTTAATTTTTACTGTATTTTTTTATTGAGATAACATTGCTTTACAACATTGTATCTATGAAAATAAATCAAACTTCAAATTTTAAAAATAGGCTTTTACTAATGAAAGATTTTCATCTAAATACAGTAAGACTGCTGTGTGTAATCTCAATAAGGAATATACACAATGGAATACAACATAGTTATGAAAAATAGATGAACTCTTGCCATTTGCAACACATGGATGCCACCAGAAAGATTGTGCTAAGCCAGTAAACCAGAACAAGAAAGACAAATACTAATTGATTTCAATCATGTGTGGAATATAGAGAAACAAAACTCAACCAAAACATACCCTAGAAATTTAACTGTAAAACTGAGGCTATCTGAAGGGAACAGGGAAAGAGGACAGCAAAGTGTGGAGGGTACCCACTGGACAATGTTGAAGGACCATGGGTGTCTGGAACATGGGTGTGGCCCAGTAACATATATCTGAAGGGATATGAACCTACGTGACCAAATTACAAACCACTTAAACCAATGTCACCTTAGGATAAATTAATAAATTTTAAGAGAAATATAGATTTAAATGAAATGTTTCTAAAATTGTGGGTAGAAGTAGAATGTTGTTATCATAGATGAAATAATGGCTAAACCCACCTTTGAGTGTTGCTTACAAATGTGGTCAATTAGTAAGTATTGAAAAAATGAAAATGGGATTTTTTTTAAAAGGTCAGTATTACTTAAAAGAAGAAATATATTCAAAATCAAATGTTACTTACAAGTGGTTTGTCACAATTTGCAGCTGATTCATCACCAGCACATGTCTTTGCAAAATCAGTTACTTCGGTCACTAATTTTACATGATCTTCAAAGGGGCATTTCTGGAGATACTGAGAAAAGGCAACCAACACCCTGAAATAAAGAACATACAAAAATGTAACATAATACAATTTTTTGAGAAATTCATAAAATTCATAAATTCATCTCATGTAAAATTTTCTACAAAGCAGGTTTCTATGCTAGCAAACAAACTGTATATTAGTATATTCTATATCTTATACACCTAATTATTATATAATAGTTTAATCACATCAGCTAGTTTATGAAAACTAACCAGCGTTTTATGGCTTTTTAAGAAAGAAGATATATGTTTCCATCAGATATAAATATAAGTGTGTGCGGGCCTCCCCCGGTGGCGCAGCAGTTGAGCGCTGGGTTGCGAAGCTGCCCGCAGCTTCTGCACCACCGGTTAGATACCCGGCCTTTGGCGAGGGTCCCACATGGTGCGCAGACCCCTCCTGCCGTCCACTGCTCCCCTCAACAGTGTATTTCGTCAGTCTGCCTATTCTACTCTCTGCTCTGTCTCTGGTGAATCCTCTCACCCTCCCGTGCCTCTGACTCTACCCAATGCTTGTATAAATAAATAAATAAATCTTTTTTAAAAATTAAAATATAAAAATAAATAAATAGAAGTGTGTGCATGGCAGGAGATGCACACATAAAGAGCAAACAACAAAAAATGACATTTTAAATAGAGCTAGTTGTTGTGACTGCAGGTATTGTATATGCCCTAGATGATTTAAAACCAAAAGCAAAAATCACACACATTTCAATTGATCAGAATGTGGGATGAAGTTTAACTTTAAAAAATAAACTAGGGCCTCCACTGGTGGCGCAGGCGCTTGAGCACAGAGCTGTGACACTGTCCACAGCCTCTGCAGTGCAGATTTGATTCCCGGCAGGCCAGGGAGAAACCCACAAGGCGCAGCAGACCTCTTCTGTCTGGCCAGCTGCTCCCTTCAGCAGTGTATTTTGGTCAATCTGCCTGTTCTGTTCCCCGCTCTGTCTCTGGTGAATCCTCTCACCCCCCTCCCCATAACTCTGGCCTGTACCTCAGTTCTTTAATGCATAAATAAATAAATCTTAAAAAAAAAGAAAATAAACTATTTTCTCATTTTTGCTAGGTTAAAAATTATCAAGATGCTCTCAAGAAACCATAGATCTATTTACTAGAGAAAAGAATTTTTAATAAGCGATGTGCAAAAGGAAACATAAACTAAAATATTTTCACCATGCAGGTTATATAAGAGTTCCAAAATGTGGTATATGTATATATATAATGGAATATTATTTAGCTGTTAAAAAGAAGATAGAAACCTGCCACTTGCAACAATATGGATGAACCCAGAAGGTACTATGGGTAGGAAAATAAGTCAGCTGAAAAACATAAATATCATGTGATTTCACTCCTATGTGGTTCATAAAGAAACAAAACAATTAACTAAAAGGAAAACAAACATTTAACTATAAGATCAAATTAGTAATTACAAGAAGGTAAGTAGAAAGGGTGGAGGCTAAAGTGAGTTAAAGGAGTCAATGGTATGATAAAAGATGGAATTAAACTTCTAGTAATGAACATAATGCAGTCCACATAGATGATAATTTACGATGATATACACATGAAACCTATATAATGTTACAAACCAATGTTACTTCAATAAAAAATTTTTTTAGTACCAGAGCTACTGTCCAATACAGTAGCCATTAGTTTATGTATAATACAGGTTTAACTAAAAAGTAAATATAAATTTTTATTCTTATTGCATTTGCACATCTAAATAACTCAAGAGTAATTTATGAGGCCAGTAGCTCATATTGGACAGCACTGATTTATAGTGCTGCAATGCTGTGCAGAAAATTCTGTTGACAGTTCTGCTCTAGGGTCAAGTCTGATCACATAAGAATATAGGAACTTCAGTATAATAACCAATGACATTAGAAACAGTAAATTTAACTCTTCAATATTTTAACTTACAGGGCTTTGAAATTTTCTTCTCCCAAATCATTATACCGGTGAGCAATCTCACTCTTGTCTGGGGAGGCGGGAGGGAGTTGGGAAAAGGAAAAACAAATGAAAAAGTTATTAAAAGAAAACAATTGTTTATGATATTACTTTTTATGTTTCTCTCCATCTGACTTATGTATTCATTTGTTTCAAAATGTTGGACTCTGATTCCTACAGAAAATCTTAGGATGATGGTGACCTGTTTCTTTTGCATTTAAACAGGAGTTATTCAATCACCAATGTTACTATTTGAAAAATCTTTAATATTTATAGCTTTACATTCAAACTTTGATAAGGTCTAATTCTCTTGTAATATCTATTAATAGCTACGAAGAGGACAGTTTAAAATGAAAAATACAATTATAAACTCTATAAGATTAACAATACAGATTTTGATTTTTCATAAATCAATACAGTGGATATGCTTTGGGAATATGGAGTTATGAATACTTTTTTCAACTATATTCTGTGAAGTTTAAGTCACCCTAAATTCCTAGATGTGCAAAAAGAAATTACAGTTACTAAACAATTATCACCATTTCATTCACCTAGGGCTTTAGAAATATATTAATAAATAACTTTTTAAGGAGTTACAAATACAAAATATCATTGCAGTCCAGAAACTTACTTCTTTAAAGATATAGAGTTTACTGAAACTTTTACTGGGAAGTTTAAATAAAACTTGGATAATAGAAAAATAGAATTCTTACGTGCATCTCGACGAAACAGACCCCTGGAATAAGCAGAGCTGAAGAGGAAGAGAAGGGAAATAAAGGTTACCCACTTCATTGTGCCAAAGGCTTGTGAGGTGGATAGAAGAGAAAAGGTAGGATGAATAGAGGAAAATTGGTACTAATATACTTCTCTAACCAATAATTATAGATTATTAACTAGACTCATCTTTGAATTTCATTGGTTCCCAACTGATTACAAAATTCATGATATTCTTGCCAAAAAAATGTTTGACTAAATCAGTTGCGTATGTTTGCCATCTGGAACTGTGTTCTCTACAAGATCTTGTCAATTCATGAAAGTTATGTAAAACATCTTATCAAATTTTACATAAGAGTTTAAACGATTTGTCCCATTATCTGAGATTAACCATTTGAACATTTTAGTTTTCAACATTTGCAAAAATTTAACCAAACTAGTGACTTAGCTTGGAGATAAGACATACTAAAAGAGCTAAGCTCTGAAATGTATCTATTATTAACTCCAAGTATTTTTTTTATCAAATACTAATGAAAAATTTATACAACACACACACATACACAGTCTCTCTCGCTCTCTCTCCTTTTCATTCTTCTAAAACTGTTCTGTGTGAAAAAGCTGATGCTGTTGCATCACGTGCAAACTAAGGAAAAGCCATAGCAAAAACAACAGCAATGAACATTCAGGAGTTCTACATTTCCAATCCAATTATGGTCCACATATGATTCAGGTCCTGTGACGGGAAATCTTCATACAATGTGAGTAGATCTCATGGGATTTTCAGGGCATGAGACATGGGGGAGAAAGTGGATACAAATGATGGTAATGATGATCTTTATCATTTTTTTTATTTATTTTTTTAATTTTATATATTTTTACATCATTTTTCATTTTTGCACAATGTATGCATTTTCATCTTGGTTATAGTCCCCATACAATTCCCACTCCCTCCCCGCCGCCCCCGCAGTGGCTCAAGAAGTTGTGGTACACGTGTACAATGGAATATTACTCAGCAGTCAAAAAAGACAAACTCATGCAATTTGCAGCAAAATGGATGGAGCTGGAAGGGATTATGCTCAGCAAAATAAGCCAGAAAGAAAAAGAAAAATACCAGATGGTCTCACTCATAGCAGGAATTTAGAAAACCTAAATAAGGGACCAGGAAAAAGACTAGTTATAATAAAGTAAAAATCAAAATCAACAAGCAACTATAAACCAGAGATCTTTGTTACCTTAATACACACAGGATGTGATTACACCACTAGCAGTTTAAAAATTCTAGAACTTTTTCACAGGCATCATATCCTTTTCATTCCTGTTTCACACTTTCTCCTTTTTAATTAAAGGAAAGATACCATACTCCTTTTTAATATTATTTTAAATTTCAAATAAATTTATATTTATGTCTAAAAACAAAACAGATCATTTTTCAAAAAATATTTTTTCAAACAACCTTTCCTACTTCCCCCCCAATGTTCTGATTCCTGATCTCTACCTCTAAAAAGTAATTCACATTCTCTTTCTCTCTGTTTCTCTCTCTCCTCTTTTGCTCTAAAGATGAAGAATTACAGATTTCAACAAGTAAGACAATTATCTCTGGTACTACAGAATAATTATTATCAAACCAGTCATTTTGCTTAATTAAATAACAAAGGCAAGCAAAACTGTCACTCAGGTTGCCCTATAGCATATATATGAATACATAATGCACTACCTAAGAGAAGCAATATTTTTTCTAATTTTATTTCATTTTCAGGAATGGGTGCTAATTAATCAAGCAAGGAACAGGAAATGATAGACAGCATATGACAATGATGATGATGATGATGAAGGTCTTGATAGATAAACAGATGGATAGATAGATGACAGAGATTGTAGACAAAGTTTTTTTAAGTGGCACAATAGAGTACTGAAAAACAGAGCCAGAGTTTTTTCTCAGCCCACAGATGAACAGAATATCTTCCTGTGGAATTATTTCCATTTAAGAAAATAATTTTTCAAGCCCAAATACTTAGAAAAGAAAAAAGGAAACTATACTAACTTTTTAACTTTCTAAGATAAAGTAATTTCTTTGTGGATAAATTATATCAGCTATCCTTTTAGCTTCTGAGAAAGAGTAGACCCCTTTCATTTGAATTATGTCAAATCCTAGCCTTTTCCTTGTGAGTTCCAAGGGAGGCTTGATCAACATGCAATTCTTATCAATGGATATACTTGCATTATTAATTCAAAAAACCAGGATTTTGTCATGCATATATATACTTTGTGCATATTTTTTTCATTTAATATTCACTGTAACATTACATATTAAATCAATAGTTAATGTCAACAGTCAAGAAAAATTCATCATGACATTAGAAACTAAGTAATTTTTCTATATTTAATGAGGAGCTTACAGCTTTCAAATGTAAAATTGAAAACATCTAATTAATTTCTTATAGTATCAATAAGATGTCTTCCATGTGTGTAAATATTAAAAATCAGTAGTTGTTAGAGAAAGTAAAACATTTAATTCTTAACATCTGCATCGTTAAATTTCATCTAAATTAGTAAGTAAACCTTGAACACTTGCATTTTGTGGATTCCCAAAGTAAGAATTCCTACATTTTTCTTCTGTTAATATGCATATACATTCCATAATGAGAAGAATAAAAACCATGTACTTGTTACTTATTTCTAAATATCCGGTTCTGCAAGCTTTTAAACTCCTATATTTAGTTAGTTATCAAAGGTCTCTGGCAAATATTTAAAACCAAAAAGCAAATATTTAAACCAAGAGTTAGAAGTATGACTGCAGAATCTAGTTTCTAAGTCTTCCATAAAGTGTCCAATGATTTTACATTGGATATTCATTCATTAAAGTTATGTAAATTAGACTCAGCATTTAATGTCTTGAAAGGCAAATGACTATTACTGATGAGTCCAAATTCTTCTCTGTTGCTACACGGAAAATTGGCACCAAAAAAGGTGCACTTCAAGAATGATGGTATCAAAAAGCAAATATTGTCTTATTTATTTAAGAACACCAGTGTTTTTGCTGACAGTGAATAATCCAGAAAACACTACCTGGTACTTATCTTAAGTAGCATCACCTAGTCTTTCATTCATACTCAAAACTTACTTAATATCAAGTACGTGCTAGGTTATGGGGAGACAGAAGTTTGGTAAACTATAGTTCCTGACTTCAAAGTATCTACAGTCTAACAGGAGGATAGTCACAGAGAAAGATAATTATAATGTAAAATTGTAAATTGCTGTGCATGTAGAAAACAAGGTAGAGTAATAGGGGAATCATGCAGAAATAAGATCTGTGGTCCCTAATGTCTTCAGTTAACTATGCAATTCAACAGTTTGTAAAGTTTCATATTTGCGTTTTCTAGGTCTGGGTTCATTTTTGCTTGTGAAGGAACTTTGTCTGAAGAAATGGAATGAGTAGGCAGAGGACTGAGGGACATTAGGAGACTACGGACATGTGTAATTTATAAATATGTGATAAAAGACAAAAATGCAGAAAATAAAGAATTAGGCCCATATTTACAAGACAGTAGAATTTCTTGCATGAATGGGAAGGAAAAAAGGGGCAAGCTGGCAGGCAGAAAAGAAAAGTAGAATTTGAAATTACTTGGGTTTCCAGGTAAAAGTAAAGATGAGATTGGCCATTTTATTATTTAAAACTCCAAAGAATGATATTGCATATATAGAAAGCTATAAAACTTTCAAGGAAAAATAGTTTATCTAATGTGGTTGACAAAGTCCCTAGACCATCCAAATACTCAGTGATAAAAGAGTGTTCCTGATTCAGGTCATACCTAACAACACCTTGTTTCTAGATGTCCGAGAGGGCATTCCTTGGAAAATGACTCTTAAATTGAGAGGTTTTTTTCTTTTTTTTAAATGGGTATGAAGAGGGAAGAAAATACCCTATCAGGTACACGAGATAGAATGTGCAAATGCTTGAGTCAAGAAAGAGCATGAGGAAACAGAAAAAATAGAGAACTGGGGGAAGCATGGTGTGCAATGAGTTATGAGATAGATAAATTTCTGTCACCTTAACTACAGTCAGTATTTTTGCTTTATATTCTAAAAACAATGAGAAGTTGAATGATTTTTATTAGTTCAATAATGTAATTGAGTCATGCTTCAGAAAGATTACTCAGGCTGCAGTGTGAGAATGAGACTAGACAGGAGACGAGTACTCATAGGAAGACCAGCCACACAACAAATGCAATAGACCTAGGAACATAAAGTGAGATATTGACGTATCTAAATGGTGTATATATGGAAAGAAGTGGGCAGAGATATTTAGGAGCATGTTGGACTGATGTTGGACCCGAGCAAGATATCCCCTTCTCCAAAATCATTGCTTTAGCAGGTTTCTTCTGGCCTCTTCCAACTGTGCTTCGCCCCAGAGGGCAAAGTACACAAAATGAAGAGTATGTGCCTACCAAAATCTGTCTTCCTTTTGTTTTAAACCATGATCCAGGAATCCTAACGCTGGAATCCCTGTCCAAACAGCCCTGAAGCTCTCCTGTAGAGAGGGCTCCTGAGAGGGCCTCTCACATGGGTACATTTTCCCATGGGAGGACCAGACCATTGATATATTTACTCCTAGGTCTGAGAAGTCACCAAAAGGCAGCTGCTTGGAAAGGTATGGAGCAAACTGGGACACAAAAGTTGGTGTTTACGCATGCACACAAATAAGGACACTTCATAGTACAGATGAAGCCGGGGTGGGCAGAAAGGGAAGGTGAGCTGGGGTGGGGCATGGTAATCCCTATCACAAACTCCAAGAACATAAAATCAGGATTTGATGCCTGTGAGCAACAGAGCAAAGATATAAACCCACACAACTTGGATCAGGAGTGTATAGAGCTAATATATGATGCTTTCCCAAAAAAAATATATATAGCAGTCATTCTCTCTACTGATAGTTTCTAAAAACTTCATTAAAAAAACTAGCAACAACAAATGTTGGCAAGGATGTGGAGAAAAAGGAACTCTCCTGCCCTGCTGGTGGGAGTGCAAGCTGGTCCAACC